ATTACTTTTGATGTTTCTGTTGTTGTTGTTGTTGTTTGTTTCTTTTTTTCAATTGAATTGTGTAACATTGGAAAACAAAACACAAACGATACAGGGCAACAACAACAACAACAATGGATTGTAATTGAAACTAATCATTCGAATTGTGATGTGAATAAGTTACCGTTTCATAAGTACGAAATTTGTTTTCACATTCACAAGAGAGAGAGAGAGAGAGAGAGAGAGAGAGAGACGAAAAAGCGAAAAGTTTTTCGCAATTTTCCGAAAAATAAAAATTTGCTTTTCAATCAATTTTCTCTCTCTCTCTCTCTCTCAATAAGAAATCAATTATTTTGTTTTGTTTATTAGCGAATTTATAAAATAAAGATTAACAGAAATAAAATTGCAAATCAATTGATTGTGTAATTGATTTCCATGTGGCTTATTTTTTTGTTTGTTTGTTTGTTGATTTTCATTAATTTTGATTGACAGTAATCTGAAAGAATGAAACAATATTCATATTTGATTTGAGCAACAGAAACTAAAAAAAACAAATCATATTGCTGATGGACAAGAGAAATGGAAAAAAAAATTTTTTTTTGTTTGTCATCATCATTGCACACAATAAAACAATGACAATTTTCAATTAGATTTCAATTCACATGGAATGATCATTATCATCATCATGATCTGGAACAAATCGAACAACAACAACAAAAAAAAAAAACAAAATGATGGACAACACGTGCCAAATTCTAGAACAATAATAATAATTCAAATATTTGTATGATAATGATGATGATTGAAAAGGAAATACATAAAAAAAAGCATAAAGTTTGATGATGACCTGATGTACATATGGAATATTGATTGTGTTTGCTTGCTTGCTTGCTTATAATCATCTCATCATCAGACTTTGGATCAAATCAATAAAGGTAACTATGAATGAATAAATGAATGAATGAATGGGCTACTTGAAAAAATATTTTCTTGATGTTGTCATGATCACCATCATGATGATGACGATGATGATGATGATCAACAATACAAAACATATCCACTTGACATCCATTCATTCATTAATACATTGATGAATATATTGTCGAAAAAAAAAAATTTCCATCTACTTCAACAGAGTTTGAAATTACCATTTCTTCCGGTTATAATTTTTTTTTCTATTTTACCTCAGAATAAATTTTTTGATTTGAATTCTAATAATCACATAGGAAATTCATAGAGAAAGAATAATTAAAGCAAGAGAACAAAAAAATCTGGAAAAAAAACCTGAACGAGAAATAAAAATGAAAAAAAATTTAATTAAATTAAATTTGATTCAACTATTCATATGAATGGAGAAAATATTAACTGAAAAATCCATAATTCATGAACAAAACAAAAATACACATCATCATCATCATCATTTTTAACATGCAAAACATATATATAAAGGAATGAATAATCATCATCACGATCATGATAGGAAGCCAGCATGGATGGATGGATGAAAACCCATATAAACAGAAATAAAAAAAAAATTACGTAGCCAAACAACAACATTGTCTAGTCATACACTTTAATTAGGGATCTTTCAGAACAGAAAAAAAACAAAAACAAAAAACACATGATGTCCAAAATAAAGAAATCCCGAGATATAATAATAATGATCATCATAGTGAAAATGTGGTTAAAAAAAAATCCCTGTGTATTATGGTGGTTGGTATTCATTTATTTATACATATTACATTTATGGTCCAGAATCATAATGATGATAATAATAAGAATGGAAGGTTAGTGTAAAGAAATTCTTGAAACTTTTGTTTGTTTGTTTGTTTTGTTTCTTGACACTAACATCCAATATCGACTACTACTACTACTACTACTGGGAGAATATTCTACTAGAATTTATTGTTTATGTGTTCATCATCATCATCATCATTATCATTCAAATTAATTATTTATATATTGACAATTGAGAATTCTTCATTTTATTTTTACAATCTTCTTACGTTTTTTTTTTTTTTTTTTTTTTGAAAAACCAAATTTCATTTTGTTCACAGAAAATCATAAAAGTTATGTGCAAAAAAAAGTGATGAATTTGATGATAAATTAATTATATGATGACATAGAGAGAAAAAAGGCAAGAATAAGAACAAAAAGGATTACGATGAAAAAGGAAATTCTTATTCCAATCACTATTCTTGTGAGTTACATACCTTTTTTGTGTGAAGAAGAAGAAGAAGAAGAAGAAAAGGAGCGGAATAAAAACAAAAAATCAATGTGCAATGAGATGCGGAAAAAAAATTTTTCAAATCATAAAACAGACAAAAACAACAACAACAACAAGAAGAACAAGAACAAATAAAAACTGATTAGATGAATGAATGAATGAATGTCAAAAGATGATGATAACAAACAACAACAACAAACATAGAAAGAATGTAAACAAATTTATTTTAAAAAAATTGATGATATACACAACTATTCAATAGTAGTGATGGAAAAAATGTTTTTCTCTCTCTGTGTTGATGTTGTTAAACTTTTACATTTGAATATATATAATATATCTTTTTCATGTTCAAATATAGTGGATGAGATGATGAAAACAAAATTTAAATTTAAATAACACTTTTATCTCATCACCGGAATAATGAACAGTGAAAAAAAATCAAAAATTCAAAAATTCATACAATAATTTTCAAGTGGAAAAATTAAATGTCAAAAAATAAAATCGATGAAGAAAAATAAAAATGACTGGATGATTTGCTTCATGTGTGTGTGTATGTGCAAGTTGCTAAGGTAAATTCTTACTTATCGACGAATCAAGAACATTTACACGATGACGACGACGACGACAACGATGATGATGATGATGATTATCCATCCATGTGATGTGATGTGACTATATGTCTTGTCTATGTTTGTGTGTGTGGTTCTGACTGACTTGAATGATTCGATGCTTTTGAAAATCATATAATGATTCACAAAGTGAAAAAAAAACATCAACATCAACAACGACAACGACAACGACAACAAAAATTTTCATCTTTCGGATTGAATTTTTTTTTTTCGTTTGCTACAACCACCCCAATTTTTTGGAAAGGAGAAGCAATGAAAATGTTATGTTTGTTCGTAATACTCTATGATTTTTGTTTTTCATTTCTGTACGAATCATGATCATCATCATGATCATCATCATCATCATCGGATTGATAATTGGAAGCAGAAAAAAAAGCAGAAAAAGAAAATAATAAAGTAGCAGCTTAAATTTGTGAATGAAAATTGAACAGTTTCAGTGATATTATATTTTATTATATATTATAGTTGATGATGATCAACAATAATACGATGAATATGAATGAATCTTGTGAATGTGAAGAAAGAAAGAAAGAAAAAAAAACGGAGAGCTAAGAAATGTGGAAAAAAAAGACTGTTGCATTGGATGCGGCTTGTAGGAGAACCGAAGAAAAGAAAAAAAATACTTGCATCCATTCATACAAAATGGAAAAGATATTTTTGTATGAAAAAAAAGAAGAAAGAAAGAGAAAGAGAGAGAGAGAGAGAGAGAGAGAAACACACACACACACACACACACACACGAACATTCAAACAAAATAAGAGGAATGAAAAGATGTTAGTTGTCGATTACGATTACGATGATGATGATGATGATGATGATGATGGACCCTGAACAAATTCAATCAAAAGTTTTTGGCATTATTTTCTTGCAAAAAAAACAAGTGAGAGAGAGAGAGAGAGAGAGATAGATAAAGACGGAAATTGAAAAGATTATGGCAGAGTAATAATAATAATAATAAAGTAGAGAAGTAAAAAGTAAAAAAAAAAAATGACGAGGAAATCCAAAAATGGCTAACGGGCAAAACAAAATGAAAAAATTTGCAGATTTTTTTCTTTATTCATTAGTAATAAATAAATGGACAAAATAGTAATAATTAAATTATTATTATTGATCAAGAAAAAAAAAATTTTGGCGATTGAATTTTCTATTTCGTTGTTGTTGTTGTTGTTGTTGTTGTTAGTTGTTGTTGTTGTTGTTGTTGTTGTTATAGTTGTTGTTGTTGTTGTTGTTAATTATTAATAAAATGTTTCCACATTTGATAAAAAAAAATTTCATTAATGGGATTTAGTTATCGTTTTCGTAATAACCATATATTTATATTTATATTTGATTAGAATTCAGGATTTATGTTGTGAATTTATTTTCATTTTTGCATGTTTTGTATGTGTATGTGTGTGTGTGTTTGTTCGTGTATTTTGTATACGAAAATACGATATTGACTGGAGCATGGCCAGCCAACTAACTGATTTGAGAAAAAAATTTTTTTTTCATTATATTCACTTTTTTATTTTTTGTTCACTAAACAGATTGGTTATATATATATGGTGAATATTGCCGTTATATGCAGAGACTGAACTTGAATTCTATACACGGATTCTTGCTATTCAAACTTTTTTTTTTTTTTTTTTTTTGATTCGATTGGTCTGCCGACGTATATAAATAAAATAAAAAAAAAATGTTCTGTTTTGTTGTTGGAACAGAACATTTTTTTTTTAATTCAAATGCGCGCGTCGAATTTTTTTTATTCTCTCGTTCATTGTCTCGTATAATGATTCCACATTTTTTCATCCATAAAGAATAAATTTTCAAACATATAGTGTGTAAATATGAAAAAACTATGCGGCAAAAAAAAATAGAAGAAAATCAACAAAAATTTTTCGGTAGAAACGAGTTAAAACACACACACGACACATAAATGTAACCAGCCATTTATGGTCCGTTTAATTCAATGGAAAATTTATTCGTATGAAAATCTTCCTACGTAAAATAATTATATGTACCACACACTACATTTGTCATACCTGAAGATGGAAATTTTTTTTTATTCCTTCGTCATTAAATGCCATCTATCGACTGTGATCAACATCAACAATGATTTGAGTTTGCTCTGTTTGCCTTTTTCAGATTTGTTTTGTTTGTTTTTTTTTTTGGAAAGAGGGGACTTTTGGTCCTTTAATCATCAACATTTTGGTTTGATTTGGTTGGCAACTTGGCAATACCATTCTATTCTATCAATATTATTGATCGAATTTTAATGTGGCAAGATTATAATCACAAAAATAATGGTAGACACCATCTATCCATGTTTAATTTCATTATCGTCAATAATAAGAATTCATTAAAATTGTTCTCAATTCGTATATACAAAAAATAAAATTGTTCCATCAACTCGACATAAATCTTATCTTATCATATCATTAATGTTTGTTTTATTGAATCGAACCATGAAAAACGCTATACGCTAACCAAATAATCTTTGATATATTTACAATAAAGAAAATATAAATCGAATGCAATAATATCGTAACTCTGAATATATTGACCATAATGTTTGGCCATAGGAGTTAAGAAAAAATGCTCAAATCAACAAACAAATAATGATTCATGGATCAACACTAAATTGTATACAGAAAAAAAACACAATACAACAACCGAACGAAGAATACTCATTCGAATCACAGATCAAGATGTTACGAAGAAACTGAAGTACAAATTTTACAAATGAAAACAAAACAAAACAAAACAAAAAAATTCCTAAAAATACTCGACAGAATTAACAAACTCAAATATTTTTAATTATTACAATCAATTCATTGAAAATATTCTATGCAATAAAAACAAGAATCGATTTTCAATGAATGAGTCACAAAAGAATCCCGTTTCTGTAGCAGATATCCAATCGAAACATTTGCCAACCACAATCAGGTATGAATTTTTAATTTGATTGATATATAAAACTAATTTTGATTTATTTCCTATTGTTTAAGCCCATCAAAACGATTTCGACAATTGAAAAAAGATCATGTAATTTCGAATAAACAAAATAAACGAACCGATTATAGGCGTTTATTCGGATATTCAGATATTCACGCTGATGATAATGAAACTGATTGTTCATCATTATCTAATGATAGAATTATCAATAAAACATTGATCAAATGTATTGGAAAAAAACATACAAAATGGACATGTAAAAATTGTCATTTTCAACAGAATTTATCCACATATTCAGAATGTGCAAATTGTGGACGACAAAAATGTCATACTAATTCACATGAAGAATTCGAGAATAATAATCGTAATCGTAATACAGCAATAGGATCAAGAAATCATCAATTCGATTGTCTTGACAAACGATCACATGGTCATGCTAATGTACCAGTTATTAATCATAATAAAAAATGGCGTATACTTTTCCGTTTATTATCGGATGATTTAAATCTTCCTTCATCATCAACTGGTACAAATCCATTAAGTAATTTTGCAAGTATTCTTGTCGATATGGCTAAATCAACTACTACAGCCAATAACAATGGTACCAACAATGGTAAACGTCATTCGGATACAAGTTCCAGTCATCGTCATATAGATCAAAATGATGGAAATAAACCTGAATATTATTATAGCCAAACTGATCTATATACCTACTTAAATACAACATTAGGTTGTGATGGCGGTGGTATAAGAATGATAAAAAATCGTCATACAGATAAATATCGTCATTGGAAATGTGAAATTTGTCATCATCCATTCAATATAAACACTGCATTCTATTGTTATATTTGTGATCAACATCGTTTTGGTTTGAAAAAACAATCAGCATCCAAACAATTATTACGACAAATGGTACAAAATTCAAAATTTTGGGCTAGAATGAATATTGAATCCACCGCAGCAAATGATACAAATGAACAACAACAACAACAACAACAGTCTGATTTTTATTATGACGATAGTCTAGTATCGAAAAGCAGTACATTATGCTATAATATTAATCGTAGTCAAGATGAAGATTTTCAAAACAATGATTCTGATGAATATAATCAGAATATTGAACGATTAGATAATGACGATGAAGACGATGATGAAGATGATGAAGATGATGATGATAATTATGAAACTGATTCATCATCAACATTATCATCATTGACAATTTCATCGATAATATCCGAATCAATATCAGCTAATAATTTATATTTATGTATTGAAAATTTAAAACTAGAAGAATCCAACAATCGAAATGATAATAATAATATAGATAATCGACAAACATGGCAATGTATTAAATGTACATTGATCAATGGTGATGAACAACAATCATGTGCTGTATGTGGTGGATCTCGATTGAATAGTGTAGAATCGGAATCGATAACAACGACGAACAATTTCATCAATTCAATTAATAATGATGATAAACCGATTTTTGTAACAATAAATCCACAACAACAATGGACATGTATTAAATGTACATTACGTAATTCCATACATAATGATCCAATATGTGCCGCTTGTGGTTATCCACGACCACCACCATCCATACAAAATCCATCTTTACAATCATCACAATCACAAACACGTAGACGTGACCTGACTCGTCGTAATCGATCACATTGGGAATGTTCAGCATGTACATATCTTAATTCATCGGATAGATTTTCCTGTGAAATATGTCATCAAGGTCGATGTGTTTTAACATTGAAACCAGTAAATCTATCGTCTACGAATGATAAATTATCATCAGAAATTGTAACCGAAAAATCGATACCGCAAGATGAAACACTTTGTCATGGAGAAAGTGAATTGATGGAAACATTGCGTAGAATTGAAGAAAAGGAATCACGACGGCTATGGCATAATATCGTACAATTTTGTTCAAATAATCGTATGCAATTTGTTGATGATTCATTCCCACCATCTGATCAATCACTTTATCATATACAATCAACTTTACAATCAACACCATCATCTGCAACAATCAATACATTACGATTGAATACCGGTCCTGTACAATGGTTAAGGCCACATCAAATTCAAAGCGATATAAGTAGCTCACAGGTACGTTGGGCTGTATTCCGTACACCATTACCATCGGATATTCTTCAAGGTGTACTCGGTAATTGTTGGTTCTTATCAGCATTGGCCGTACTAGCTGAACGTTCTGAATTAGTGGAACGTGTTATGATAACAAGAGAAATTTGTACACAAGGTGTCTATCAAGTACGCCTTTGTAAAGATGGTCAATGGAAAACTGTATTAGTTGATGATTTATTACCTTGTAATCTGAAAGGTCAATTAGTTTATTCACAAGCAAAACGAAATCAATTATGGATACCTTTGATTGAAAAAGCAATGGCCAAATTACATGGATGTTATGAAGCACTTGGTTCTGGAAGATCAATTGAAGGCCTGTCCACATTAACTGGTGCTCCATGTGAAAGTATTTCATTACAAAGCCCGAAATCCGGTAATGGACAGCAACAATTACCACATAATGAACAGATAGATTATGATTTCATATGGGCACAATTACTTAGTTCAAGAGCAGCTGGTTTCCTAATGGGTGCATCATGTGGTGGTGGTAATATGCAGGTAAATGAATTAGAATATCATAATGTTGGACTTCGACCACGACATGCCTATTCAGTATTGGATGTTCGAGATATCGATAGTTTACGTTTAGTTCGTTTACGTAATCCATGGGGACATTTTGCATGGAATGGTGATTGGTCCGATCATTCATCATTATGGACAACGAAACTTCGTGAACAATTATTACCACATGGCGCAGCTGAAGGTGTATTCTGGATTGCTTACAGTGATCTTCTTAAATATTTTGATAGTATTGATATATGCAAAATACGTAATGATTGGAATGAGATTCGTTTGCAAGGTGTGCTGCCACCAAATGCATTTGATATTGATAATATTCCTGTAGTTTTATTAACTGTTACTGAACCAACTGAAATTGAATTGAATCTATTTCAAGAAGGTCATCGACAATCACATCAACAACAACAAGATTGGAAACGTGATACATCATCATCTGTACGTAATGCTCCATTAGATCTATGTGTAGTATTATTCAAACATAATGAACAACATCGATCCGATGATATTGCATCAATGTTGATGGGTTCATTGGTTGCCCATAGTAAAAGACAAATTCGATGTTTTGTTGGTTGTCATGCTATATTAGAAAAAGGTGTCTATACGGTTATGTGTTTGGCATTCAATCATTGGAATACAAGTAAGTAATTATAATAATAATAAGTCAATATATATATGAATTTGAATTTAATTATAAATTTTCGTTTTTTTTAAATTGCAACAAAAAAAAATTTAGAGATTGTATCATTTAGTCATTATCCAAAATTTTTATTAGCCATACATAGTTCAAAACGTCTTTCGGTTGAAACAATTACTGGACCACCATTTGTATTGGCCGATACAATTATACGATTAACAATGGAACGTGGACAACGTCATGAGGTATTATTATACGATTCTTTTATTTCTTCATTGTTTTGCATGTTTATGGTCATCCTATAAATTGATTTGATTGAACCATGATACCCCCCAAAAAAATAAAAATATAGGGCCGTGAAGGTATGACTGCATATTATCTAACAAAAGGTTGGGCAGGTTTAGTTGTTGTCGTCGAGAATCGTTTTGCTGATCGTTGTGTACAGGTTATTTGTGATTGTACAGATAGTGTTAATGTTGTTTCTACGCGTTCAACATTACGTACGATTGATTCTATACCACCACAACATCGGTAAATAATGATGAACATGATGAAAAGAATGTGGTGGTTATTAATGATTAAAATGTCTATATATATGTATATTAAAAGGCAAGTGGTCATCGTTCTTACACAATTGGATGGAAGTGGTGGATTTTCTATTGCACATCGTCTTACACATCGTTTATCATATTCAAGTGGTCTACATGATTGGGGACCATTCGGTACAAATCATGTACCATCGATTGATCGTTTTATGTATGGATTGCATACAAATCAATAGGAAATAAAGACAACATTAACTGCCAACAACAATGATGGCTGCTGATTATCATTTCTACATATATATTATTATATTTAATGAAATTGAAGTTGATATTTTATTGAAATGCATGCATTAATTATTACATTTTCAATTCAATTCAATTTGTAAAATTATTTTTCAAAATTTTTAGAATTATACAAATTTTCAAAGACAACTGTGGCCAATGTTTATATTTTTTTGAAAACTATTTTCACTCAATGGGGACGACAACATGATGACATAAGCTAAATTGTTTTTATGCGCATTCGAAATTTTTTTTGTTTCTGTTTACCTTGTATGTAGAGAAAAAATGTAATCAATTAGCAATAATTTCAGTCTTTTTTTGAGTTGATAAGTGTCCGAAAAAAGGTTCATAATTTTGGAAGTGATTTGAAAAGATTGCAAACCAAAGAAATTTAATTAATTAATTAATAAGGAATTGAACATAACAGGCATACCAGAGCAAAATCAGCGAGAAACTTGTACCATCGATTGATCGTTTTATGTATGGATTGCATGCACCACGTCCAATACCTTAAATTAACATATAACAACAAATGATTTATTCTATTAGCTTGAATTGATCAATTGAAAATTTTATTTCAATTTTTAAATTTAAACTTTCAACAACATCAACATTAACTGCCAACAACAATGATGGCTGCTGATTATCATTTCTACATATATATTATTATATTTAATGAAATTGAAGTTGATATTTTATTGAAATGCATGCATTAATTATTACATTTTCAATTCAATTCAATTTGTAAAATTATTATTTTTAAAAATTTTTAGAATTATACAAATTTTCAAAGACAACTGTGGCCAATGTTTATATATTTTTTTGAAAACTATTTTCACTCAATGGGGACGACAACATGATGACATAAGCTAAATTGTTTTTATGCGCATTCGAAATTTTTTTTGTTTCTGTTTACCTTGTATGTAGAGAAAAAAAATGTGTAATCAATTAGCAATAAGAAGAGAGAGAATGTGTAATGATGAAACTCAATTGAAATTAAATTGATTGAAATTTTCTTCTTTTTTTTTGTATATAAATAACTCAAATTTTCATTCACTGCCTATATTAATTTTTCTTTTTGGTTTTTGAAATTTTATTAAATTTTTTTTTCTATCGAAATCATGGAATTTCCAGACCTTGGTAAACATTGTGCCCTCAAAGAATGTAATCGTCTTGGTGAGTCTATAAATTGTTTTTGTTTTCAATTCTAACTCGTATTGATTTGAATTTTTTTCTAGATTTTCTACCTATAAAATGTTCATCATGTGAAAAAATCTATTGTTCAGAACATTATATGTATCAGGCTCATCATTGTGAATCGAATCGAATTCAAGATCATCAGGTACCAATATGTCCAATGTGTAATTGTCCTGTGCCATTAAAATTTGGTGAATCATTGGATGAAAAAGTTGGCGAACATATTGATCGTAATTGTGATGGTAAATCAAATTCTAAGACGAAAGTATACAAAAATCGTTGCTCTGTTGATGGCTGCAAACAAAAAGAATTAATGGAACTTGAATGTGATAAATGTGGACTTAATCACTGTTTACGGCATCGTCATCCAGCCGACCATGATTGTCGTGGACGTAACAATAAAACAAAATCAATTCATCCATTGGTGGCTAAATATGATAAATCAAATAAACAAAATAATTCATCAATCACTGTTCCTATAAAATCACATACCATTCCACAATCGTTGAATTCATTTACACAGAAAAGTCTTTCTACTATTGATCAATTTAAGACGAATGTTGTACGAACATTTCAAAGAAATACAGTCGGCTCCAATTCAATGATTCCAGCAAGTCATACAATCAATTCAAATATCAATCATTTACAAGGCGATCTTACAGAAGAAGAAGCATTGAACATTGCCATTGCTGAATCACTTTCAGTGAATACTCAAAGTCAACAACCACAACAACAACAACAACAGTCTGTAAACAATCGTACAAATAATCAAGAAAATTGTCAAATTTTTTAATCCAATCATCATAAAGTTATAAATCTTGGTAGGAAAATATGTTCATTGGCTTAAAATATTGTTGTGACGGCCGTGGCCATTATGTTATTTCAATTAATTAAGAATTTTATTTATTTCAACAACTATTATTTAGAATTGAAATTCATTCTTTTGTCTTTATTTTTCATTACTGAATAATAATTATTTTTGAATTAAAAAAAAAATTCACAAATAAAAAATTTAGTTGATTTTTGTTTATAGGTTGAAAGTAGTTGTACTGTATGAATAGAGATTTCAGTAGCACGATTTTTTTTTATTATTATTCTGTTCTGTGTTATTGGTCTCTCATGTGGTTTGAAGTCGATTTTCGATTTTTTTTCACTTTTGTTTTCAGATTTATTTTTCGATACTTTTGAATCACATTTTGGTTTTTTTTCGCCATAAATAATGCAACGAATCACTCAGATTCTACAATATAGTCCAAAAATAAGGATTCAATCAATGATTAGTATTGTATTGAATTCGAATCAATGCTTGAACAATGAATCATCATCACAATCATTATTGAATTATAATAGTCGCCGTTTTGGTCGTCGATATCGACGTTGGTATCATTGGCCTAATGATTTTCTACCATTTCATTGGGAACGTGAAAAATTGGATCCACCATATCTACGTACGGGTGATGCAGTTCGTGATATTGGTTTTTGGGATCCACAGGATCTAATTCCCGGTGCACAATATTCGAATGTATTGAAAGAGTAAGTTTTTATTTTCGTTATAACTAATAATAATTTAATTAAATTTAAAAAAATCAATTTCTAATTGTTTATAGTGCACCAGAAATTGTTCGACGACAATTTTCTCTTGGATTTGCCGAACGTGTAAGTGTTGTTTTAATTCATAATAGAAAATGTTTATAACATATCCATTCTTAAATAATTAGGCAACAGTTGTCGCTCATCAACGTGATAAAATTCTTGATCTAGTTCGTCGTCATCCATTGGATAAAATGTCACCTGAAGTTAAAGGTAATGAACCAATCTATTTTTTTCTGGTTTTAATTTTGAAATTGTATATTTTTCGCCTATAAATAGTTGCTGAATATACGGTGAACATTCGAAATAATTTACGTCATTTCATAAAGATTGATAAATATGATGCAAAACGTAAAATACAACAAGAAACATTGAAAAATCGTCGTGCAAAATTGCTCAATGAAATTTACTATCAGGATCGTGAACGCTATAATCGTTTGATTCGTTTATTGGGCATAACACATGTTGTACCAAAATTAGGTGAAATTACTCATAAACCAACACGTAAAGGTGAAATTCGTCGTTTAACACGTGAATATTGTGAACGTATTAAAGAACGAAAATTGGAAGAATATCATGCTGAATTGAAAGAAAAACAAACTACATTGGACGATGAAAAACGTCGTATTGATGAAATAATACAAAAAGATGGAAAATATTTAGGAATTGTTAATCAAGGACTAAACAACAACAAATAATTTCAAAGAAACAAAAATACCCATTTTTGTAATAATATTCATCAACAGATGGAACATGATTTAAATTGTTTTTCAAATTTTTTTTGAATCAACAATTACAACAAACAAAATTATAGGCTAAATCATGATTTTTTTTGTAATAAACAAAACAATTTCATTTGACAATGTAAACGGTGTATATCTAATCCGTCATTTTTTTATCTTTATGTGTGTATGTCTTTAATCTCTAAACCATTGTCTTTACATTCTTCTTTTTCGATCATAACATTTCAAATGGATCATCATCATCATCATTATTGTTGTTGTTGTTGTTGATGCCCATTTTTAATACCTATACCTATATATACATATAAAATGATGATAATAATAAATATCTAGGTGTAATAAAACAAAAAAAAACTTTGCTAATTTTTGTTAATTTTACTGATTTGAAATAAATTTAGTAAAACCAGTCGGTTTTATGCATATTTGTTTGTAGACAAGTTTTTTTTTTCATTGTCATCGAATCAATGTTGGTTAAACAAGAAAAAAAAAAAGTCATTGTTGTTTTACTTTTTCATCAAAAATTTTCTATATGACGATGACAATCTGATTCAATTGATCTGATTCAATGTCGATTCATCATCATCATCAACAACAACAACAACAACAACAACAGAAAAAAATCATCTAAAAATAAAGTTCAAATCATATAATAATCATGATGAAGCAGCAATCAATAATCGATGGCAGTATGATGACGATGATAAACAATAAAAATCATCGACGTTTTAGTTTTCATGATGAGATTCAAATTCAACGTGATTCGTTTCGTCTTTGTTTAAGGCAGCCGATAATTTTTCAATCATCAAACATTATGATGGATAATAATAAACGACGAGAAATACGCGCTGTTGTTGATGGTTCCAAGACCTTTAATAATAATAATAATAACAACAACAACAACGATGATGGATTGGAAGTCAATCAATCACCCAAATTATCGGTATCAACCTATAATAATCGCCGTAAAAGTCATAATCCAACCACTACATTTTATCTTCATCGTGGCCAAAATACGTCATCCTGTGGATCAAAAAGTGCTACAGAAATTCCGGATTTACCATCACAAACGAATGGTATGGCTAAAAATGTTCGAAAACAAAGTGTACCTATTACAGCCATATCTACACCTAAAATTATTCCGAAAACAACCGCTAAATCCACATCGAATTTGATTCGTAGAAATTCTGCTCAACCAAAAATACAATTGAATGGCAGAAATTCTCAACAAGCTAAAATACAATCGTCATCCGTATCATCATCATCATTATCTTCAAGTAGAATTACTTCAAGAAGATCATTATCACCAGGAAAAAAATCAAATCAAACACCAAATCGTTCATCGAAATTAACAGATTCAAAACAAACAAAATCTGCAGAACCTATCAATAGATGGCGAAATCGGCAACCACAATCATCGCTTCTGAGTAGCAGAAATTCGAATCATCAAACGTCAACAACAGCTGCTAATGCTGCTGCCGCTTCCACAACAACGCCATCGACAACCAAAACAAAAAAGATTGGCCATCATCTTAGTGAATCTTCTGCTAAAGTTGTAATAGGTCAAGTAACCCAAAGAAGACAACGAATACCACAAACAACCATAATAAAAAACCAGTCAAAACAGCCAACAAAAGAAGAAAAAGACGAACAAAATCCAGTTGATGACGATTGCCGAAAAGATATTGATGTTGTTACTCCTAGAACAATTTCACCATCATCGTCATCTAAACTAATGTTGAACAATGAGAAAATATTATCCAATAATACAACCACTGTCGATGATGATGCTGATATCAATAAATCAATGAACAATAGCGAAATATTCATTGATAATGAATCCAATTGTATCGTGATCAATAAAAATGATAATAATAATGATGATGATCGACACGTCTTTACTGAACAATTTTTGTATGATATCAAATTCAAACATTTAAAACATCAATCATTGTCAGCAACAAAAATATCTGGCATTAGTAATAATAATAACATTGTTGAAGACGACACGACAAGTGTTTCGATTTATGACAAATGTCGTAGCAAATGTCCTATTATTCAACATTATCATTGTGAAAATTTTGATTTTTATCATCATCATCATTGTTGCTGGTGTTTGACTATATCGAATCTACGAAATGTTCAACATTTACCTGTAAATGAACGTCAATTTTTTAAAGATTTAAACAAATATGTTTGTTACTGTGAAAGTGTTGCTGATTTTTTCATTCCTTTTTCTGGTTCCAATATAAACAACAAAAAACGTTCGATTCATACGATACGAATTGATGAACAAACAAAACGGCGAAAATTAATACGATCATATTCCGAAGGATCTATTCATCAACGAATTTATTATCGAGAAAATTGTCATTTTGTTTTAAAACTATACAGAACCAATCATTGCAAAAGTATGTTTTTTTAAATGATGATAATCCTAAAAAATGGTCTAAAAAATTGAAACTTGAAACAAAAAATCAAATATTGGATACGTTGTATGTTTTTTTTTATTTTCTTTTTTTTTTTTTTTTTGACCATATGAGTACAAGTGACAAAAAACATTCAATATTCAGTTATGCAGTATGCTATAATGTAGGCGTGTATAGAAAGTTTACAAAAGTCATCAAAACCATTTGTTTAGTTACAGTCAATCCTTGTATTCCACGTGGGTTGTGGGTGAGCAAATAATTGTGGTGGCTATATGGTGGCTAGAAATAATAATTTTGAAACTATTATCGATGACCATGATGATTATAATGTTTGTTTATTGATTAAATGCAAAATTCCACCCCCCATAACAAAAAAAAATCGCCGTATATATTGTTCAAGATATTCAGCTGGATCCAAATTGGGATAATGATGTTGATCAAAAGTAAAGTTTAAATGAAAATGAATAAGTGATTGAAATTGAATAATGATGATGACAATAATGATCAAACAATGAACACAGATGGTTGAGAGAAAAATAGAAAAATCGATTGATCCAAAAAAAAGTAGTGTGTGTACATATATGTGTTTCGAAATCAATTTATCAATACACGAAAAGGTTAAGTAATTTTTTAATTGCTCTATCATTATAATGCCATTTTTTTGTCGTAAATATAATTCAATGAATCACATTTGAAAAGCTTGTTTTTGTTATCATTGTCGTTGCTTAGACGAGTAAGCAGCGAAAAAAAAGAATCATTCATGCATCACAATTTTGAGAGATTGTTTGTGCATTCAATCTAGTTTCTAAATTCGTTTTATTTTTGATGTTCGCTTCGCGTTCACTTGTTCATCAGACATTTTGTCAATGTTTATTTGTTTGTTATGGTTTTATTTGATCCATATTTTTTTTTGTCCAGAATAAAAATTTCCTTCATAGAATTTGTTTTCGACAGTTTTTCCATTATAAAATGAGGACTACAATCATGAATTTGTAAAAGTTTTATGGTGGTTATAGTTTTTTTTTCTTTGTTTGTGTGTGAGCAACATTGATAAATAAAAATGTCTTTTTATTGTTGTTTAAAATTTTTTTCTCTTCATCCATTCGATCAGTAGATCAATCTTATTTCAAAAATATAATCGATCAATAATAATGGGTAATAAGACATCATCATCATCATTGGATGATTCACACCGCAATAGTGGTGATGGTGTATCAGCGAAAAAATTGGCTAAAATTGTCAAAATTTCAAATGAAAATCCTACAAATCAACGACGATCATCATTATCGTCGTCATTACGAATTCCACAAATGAAGGTAATGAAAAAATCTATTCAAACCAAACGACAAGATCAAAAAAGTGAAAATTTTCGAAATTTATCATTGGATTTGGAATCCGAATCAAATCGATTGGATTATTCTACAACCGGCACTATTAGTAGTCGTGCAACAAGTCGTTCTGGATCGATTTATCATGATGCTCGATCACGACTTACATCACCTGAATTCGAAAATATCAATTTCATTAGTAACGCACAAACGGTAACCAAAATGGTTGCTGCAACCAGTTTACTGGATGAAATTCAATTAGAACTTGGTAGTCAGAAGAATTTGTTGGCGGTAAGATGTTCTATAGGCGTATGGCACACATTTACCACAAGAATTTGTTCATTTATTTTGAAAGTTTTTTTTCTGATTTATTCCGCAAATTTTTCCGTTTGATTTTGGCCTTGTTTTGAAATGTTTTCGTTAATAAATCCTATATACTATGCATTTTATTTCGTATTTTTCGTTTTTTGTTTTATTTTTTTTCGAAAGAAAACATTGCATTTATTTTGAAAATGATATTAATCGCTTTTTTCGTTATTATAGGCTTCTAATAATGACCAAAACGATGATGATGACCGAAAAGAAAACGTAAATTCAAATTGCCAGAAAATCGTAGATGATAATTTTTCACCTGGAAATGATAAAAAAACTGAAGAAAATATGCAACGAAGATCAACAACAACAACCACAACAGCTACACGACCATCTTTGGCGGTTGAATCAAGTAACGGTGGTAGCTTGATTTTTTCGAATTCTCTAACAACTACAGGAACAACGGTCACATCAAATTCTTCTGTAGCAGCAGTCAATTCGAATTCTCATTCACCGTTGATTGCACAACCATATAAAAAAGTTGTCGTACCTGAAGTAACAACACCGGTCATATCATGGGAAGATCTTGGTACGATTGGCGGCAATTGGACTCAAATATTGCCACAAAGACCTATAAACAACCAGAACCTTCAGAATCAGGCATCATCTACACATGATCTTGCTGATCGTTCTATATCTTGTCCGGATGGAAATGTTTTACGAAAGGTCGCATCCATTACCGCCGGATCATTAGGCATAAGAGCTATTAATTTTTCGAATGAAGCAAATTTCATAAATAACAATGAAAACAACAAGACTGAACGAATAGAATTTAGATCCTTATTAGCTGGTACGAAATTCGATCTGAAACAAGTTGAAAAATTCGAAGGTATTTATAATCTATTTATTTGGAAAATATTCATCCCTTAATCTTTTGTTTTTTCATGATTAATCAAGGTTCGATATTATATAATTGGTATTCTAGTTCGTTGTGGCCTTATTTCCAAATACTAGTCGATGAAATAAATGATAATGATGATCATCATCTTGATCAATTTCGTGATCTACAACGCAATATTTCATTAGAAATCTGTACATTTCTTCTTGTCAACGATGTGATTGAATATTGTTCATCATCCAATACGGAAGATGAACAACAATGTCAATCACAAGATATTGATAATGATACGATTAATAATAATAAGAAAAATGAATCTATTTTCAAAGTAAGAGTTTCGAAAATTTTTCAAAACAACCTTTAATTTACTCACTTTTTTGTTTTTTCGTGTAGCTTGATCGTTTTTATAAATGGCGTAAAAAATTACCTACATGGAATGGCAATAATGTTCGATCTTCGATCGAACTACAAAATTCGATGCCTATAACGAAAAAAACTACTGTTGAAAATTCCGTTCAATGTACGATTTTGCAGCCTTCAACTAAAGATGTGATGACCATGACTGAAGATGAAAAATCTGAAGAAATCCAAGAAGTTGTACAACCAACTGCGACCGCACCACCACCACCACCACCACCGCCGCCGCCGCCGCCACCACCGCCTGGGTTATTGGGACCTGTTTCTGTTAAATCTATTTCATCAGTTCCACCACCACCACCGCCGCCTCCTCCTCCTCCTGGACTAATAGGAGGACCACCGCCACCACCACCACCTCCTCCTCCTCCAGGGCTAATGGGTGGACCACCGCCACCACCACCACCACCTCCTCCAGGTTCAGGAAATCAACAACATCAAGGACCACAAGCATTTCCAGCACCACCAAATGGTGGTTGGAATGCCCTATATCAAACATGCAGAAAACCAGTCGTTCATCCAACATTACCTATGAAGCCGCTATTCTGGCAACGAATACAAATGCCTGCAAAACAGCAACCACAATCGCAAATTTCTGAAAATGATTCAGAAACAGTCTCAGAAGAACAAACTACATCATCACCAACGACTACGCCCGCAACTTTAAAATGTTTTTGGGAAAAAATTGAAGAAAAAGACGATTTAATTTGTCAAGAATTTTTGGATACATTTTCAAGAAAAAGTACTTTTAGTACGTTGAAAAAAAATGCTCATAAAAATAGCAAAGATGATTCGAATCTCAAGACTGATAATGCAGCAACACGTGAAGATTCGAAAATATCATCAACACCGAAAAAAACAATGGAAACTGTACAGCTTCTGGAACAGAAACGTGCACATAATGTGGGCATTTTAATGACATCATTGAAGCTAAACATTTCGACTATTGAATCGGCATTGCTTAACTTTGATATATCTGCCATTGGTTCAGATAAATTGCAACAGATTCATGAAGTAGCCGCTACACAAGAGGAAATACGTCTGATCGAACGCTATTTAACTCAGAATCCAAACGCAACTTTACGTAAAGCCGAAAAGTTTCTATATGACCTATCGTGTATTCCACAATTTAATGAACGTGTCACATGTATGATGCATGAAAATCGTTTCACTGATCTATTGGATGGTATTGAAAATACTTTGCTGACTTTTAAATCCACTTGTCATGCATTAACATCAAAAGTAGAGATACAAAATATCTTTGCCATCATTCTAACCTTGGGTAAGTTTAATTTTTCCTTTGGAATCCATTTTTTTATAGGCCTGACAATTTATTATTTTACTATTTTTATCATCAAGGCAACTATATGAACGGTGGTAATCGTGATCGTGGACAAGCCGATGGTTTTGGTTTAGAAATCCTTAACAAACTCAAAGATGTCAAAGGAAAAGATTCGGGTATAAATCTACTTGAGTTTGTTGTGAAAATGTATATAAAAAAATATCATCCTAATTTGGACTCTATCGATAAAGTCAGCTTTCCATTAGTTGAACCGGCTGATATTGAAAAATGTTCATTGGTGGTATTTTCACAGATTGAAGAAGAATTATGTGAATTAGCCAAAATGATTAAGAAAACCGAGAATCTAGTCGCATCTGTTATGGATCGTGATGATATAGTTACTATTGCTGGTGTTAATGATAATAATGGAGATAAAGTATTACAAAACGTTGATTATATGGAACATGTTAAAATATTTAAAGATAAAATTGATCGAGCAAAACAAAGAATGACAGAACAAGAAGAAAATCTTAAAGAATGTCGTAAAATGTAAGTGTTTCATTTTTTTTTTTTTTTTTTTTGATTTGATGGAAATGAAATTAATTTTTTCAACTTTGACAAATTCACATACAGATTTCGTGATACAATGAAATTTTTCATGTTCAAAACTAAATCAAAAGATGAAAATGAATGGGCCAAAGAATTTTTTGGACATTGGGTACAATTTACCAATGATTTTAAATTAATATTCAATCGTGAATTGCATCGTTCATTAAAACAAAAGTAAGTGATTGATTTTTGATACATATTTTTCAATCTTTAACTTTTCAAAATTTCTTTCTTTTTTTTTCTCTCAAAAGTATATTAAGTGCTCGATCTATAGTACGGAATATGATGAACAAGAATGAAATTAAACCACGAAAACGTCGTCCTGGTGGCCTTAAAGATTATATTCAATCCATAAGGAATAAAAATCAATCATAAATCATTCATCATGTAACCTATATATTAACCTAAACTGTAATAATTTCATTTATCAATACATAATTGTTTTACAAAATTATTTTGTCATTCCAATTTATATTCATGATTAATTATAGTATATAGTAGTGATGTATAAATTTTTTGGAAAAAAAATAACTGTAATCATCATTCCACTTTATAATGACAAAGATATTTTTATTTTGTTTCGTTTGTTTCATTTGTTTCGTTTGTTTTTGGTTCAACAACAATAAACAAATTTATTCTAATGTTAATTGAATTTGATTATAGTTTAAAAATGATGAGAATAAAAAAAAATTCGAATTTAAAATCTCTATCTCTATTTTTTTTAAATTTAATTTGCATAAATATAAAAATAAGAATTCGAAACAAATCATCAAAATATATCGACAATATATAAACAAGTCATCAATATTTGATGATGATCATAGTGTTGGTGCAGTGGTGCGCGCTCATAAGTTGGCCACTTTTATAGGAGGCGGAGTTAACCAACAACGATGACATTCATCGACAATTTGAAGCAACAACACAATTCCTAATCACATGGCCATTACTGGACATGATGATGATGATGACGATTTTGAACTTTTCGTCGATATTTTTAAACGATGATGATGATGATGATGATAATATGATTGGCAGCAACAACAACAACAACAACAACAAAAAAAATGGATCGACATGATGGTGTATATAAAAACTGCCATTCAAAATCATTATATTGATCTTCAATTTCAAATTTATTTATTGTGATTTTGTACATGGTGTGAACAACAACCAACACCACCACCACCACCACCAACGAAAAAATCATCGATGCCGATTTGTTTGATTTTATTTTGGCTAATTTAACAAAATTTATCATCAATTTTTATAGTGTTTTTTTTGCTGTGAACTGTTGCTATTTGATATCGAACCACTTTTTCAGGTAATTTTTTTCTTTGTTTTTATATCTGATTTTTAATCATGAATTCTTCATGATAATTTAGGCACCACCACCAACAACAACAAAAAAAGGATTCGAAAATGTTACAAGATCCAACCATAACAAGTTCTATCAAGAATGATAATGAACTTCATCATTCATCTTCGTCCAATAGTCTGTTTACATCGATTAATAATAACAACGATGATAAACATGATATTACCGGTGAACAATATTCATTCAATTGTTTGACAATCGGTAATAATATGAATGTTGCTGGTTCTGCAAGACGTGGAATATTTAGTTTCGGTGATGTTGATAGTACGGAAATTTTCGATCCAATTGGCAATTATGATCCGCTTAAATTTATTACTGACAATGAAAATCATCATCAGCCACATGATGATATGAAATCAACAGAATCGGTATCTATTGATAATGGAAATTCCTTAGTAGTCAATGATGATAATCCAGCTAAAACTTTTATGCAAAAATTATTGGCTTTACAACATCAACAATCGCAGCAATTTATTGGTACTGAATTGAAAGTTAATCTGGATCCAATATCATCATCTGCATCATCATCATCGTTGGAAAATATCATATTGGAAAATGATGATGGAATGAATTCATGTTCACAGCAAAGTATTAGCAATAGCAGCAGTAGCTGCAATGCAAGTATTGCATTTTCATCCATTTCACCGGATGGTGATCTTGATATTGCAATTGATTTTGATGATATGTTAATGGCTACTCCATCAACATCATCGGCATCATCCGTAATTGATAATAATAATCGGCTACCATTACATAATCGTAATTATCAAGAAGCACGTTATAAAACAGAATTATGTCTACATTATCGTGAACGAAATTTTTGTCCACATGGACAACGTTGTTTATTTGCACATGGTTTAGAAGAATTACGACCATATCGTGGCCGACATCCAAAACATAAAACACAACGTTGTAAAGCATTTCATGAACATGGCTTTTGTAATTATGGTTATCGTTGTTCCTATATTCATTCAGAATCACCACGTACAATTGAATATATAAAAAAATTGAATCATCGTGCACAGATTGTTAAACGTAATCGTATGAATCTACAGATTCGTAATATGAGAAAACAGCCATCAAATCAACATTTGCAACAAGATAATCATTATAATAATAATCATCATCATCATCATCGCCATAACCATCATCATCATCATCACCAACACCAACAATCACAACGACAAGAACAACATCAAAATCAATCGGTCAATCATCGTTTGGATGGTTCATTGCTTTCTGATGATTGGTCACGATCATCAAATGCATCTTCGTTTTTACAATGAAAAAAAAATATTTATTCAAATCATATACTGGTTTAATCCTTCGTTTTCATTTTATTATTTATCATCATCTTTACACAAAACTGACAATCCAATTATCATTTATCGGTATCGTATTTATTCAAAGAAAAAAAAAAAATAATCAAATTTTCACATTTGACATATAAAATTTGAATATATATTCTACTTGATGGTTATGTTATGTTTGATATCATATGATGGTAAGTGTAAATTGGAACAAAATTTATCCATTCTATATATGGCTTCGTGTTTGGTTATGATTACGATTTTCAACACACACATGCACACACACACACACACACACACACAAAACAATTGTTTGAATCTATAACAAAATTCTTTAAATTTTTTTTCCTAAAAAATTTTGCCAATGGAATATTTATCCAGGTATTTATTAATTTTAAAAACACTGAATTAGTACCTATAATTTGTGATTTGATGAGAATGCTGATTGATATTCTGTGTATCAAGTTTTATTTATATGGTGAATTTTTTTTTAATTTTATTTCATTTTAATCATTATTTTTAAAAAAAAAAACCTGACTGACCGATTGACAAAATAGAAAGAATAATGATGATCTCCATTTGTTTGTTTTTCCTTCAAAAAATCCATTTCTGTTATCAATCATTTAAATAATTAAACTTGTTGCTAATTTTTAAATCATAAAATTAAAAAATTTTATCAAATTATTGATTTTTTTTTTTGTATTTTGATGCGTGCGCACCAATGAAATTTTCATTTTTCCAGCTCATTTGTACGTGATTTGTGTATTTGTAATGATGATGATATGATGTGTGATCACAAATCTATCAATCATTTGTTTATATATATATTTGTTTGTTTGTTTTCGTTGGTTTTTTGTTTTCGTTTTCATTGAAAATATGTCTTCGAAGAAAAAAATGATGATGATGACCAGTTTTTCTGATGATTATATTGATATTTTAGCGGCCGAAACAAATCAACGTAGCCATATTCAGCAGCAGCCACAGCGACGATCACAATCACAAGTTCAACCACCATATTCATCATCGCCGAAAAATCAACAACATCATCGTCGAAATATTCATCGTGCACAAATTGCTCGACATTCACATTTTCCATCCTATTATACGTTGAATTCTTTGTATTCGAAACCAAATTTTCTGAGAGGTTACCTATATATTCGATCAATCATTTTCAATAAATCAATATGACTAACGTTTTTTTTCATCATTCCAATTTCAATATAGAGTTTGCTGATGTTCGTGAAACCGAACAAGGATTAACTGATTTACTAAACGATTTTCATGATGGAAAAATAAATGCATTTGGTGAGAATATAACATTGGAGAATATGATAAAAGTTCGTGAACAACAAGAGAATCTGGCACGATTACATTTCGAAATGAATAGTCAACAATCCAAGTATCCATTTTCGATTTGATTTTTTTGTGGAATTTTGATTTTTAATTTGATTTTTTTATCTAGCAAACAATCAACAATCGATGTTTCTGGTATGTGCAATACAAATGCATCATTATATCAATCTGGTTGTAGTCAACCATCAACACCATCATCATCATTAGATCAAAAAGAACAATCATATCAATCGGATAGTCAATTATCGAATGAACCTATGACTATGGTTTTCGCAAATATGAATGGTCAAACAACTACTTCAAGTGATAACAATAATAATAATAATAATAATGGAAATTCATCACCAAGAATTATCATATCGATGGAAGAAACATCGACAACATCATCATCGCCACAGCCACAAACACCCGATCCAATGGTTATTTGTGGTAAACCATTTTCCAAAAGTAACATGATTAAATTGATACAGAATGTGAGTATCTTTAATGTGGCTACAACGATTGATTTCAATTCAATTTATCGTTTTATTTTGTTTCTTAGTTACAAAATCTTTGTGAATCAATGTAAGTTATTATTTGATTGTTTCTGTAATGAATTTCACTAATTTGTCTTTTTTTTCATATTGTTATTTCAATTATAGTGAACTATTGCAATCAAAAAATCATAGTGCAATGGATTGAAATCATTTCATTCGTTTCAATGAAACTTTGTGCAATTTTATAACGTAATCCTATATATCTACTGTTCAAGTCATACGATTCTTGTTTCTTTTGTATATAATTTTCAACAAATCAATTCTATAATAATCAATATAAATTTGAATTTGCAAAATTCAAATTCATTATTCACCGTTAATTTGATTCAAATTCAAGAAAAAATTCCCTATTTACATCATCATCATATGATTTTGTTGATGTTTGAAACGCAACATAATGATGACCGTGATTGTTTCACAATTATTCTATCCAATACATACATCTTCATGTTCTTCGTCAAGTGCAACCATAATATTGATTGAACTCATCTAGTCATCATCCAGATTTATATTTGAATTAATTTCTCATGCTATATCATGCATATAATCAACATCTCATCATCATCATCAAAAAACTGAAAATTACTGTACAGAAGAATTCAAATTCATCCATTTGAATCAGCACAAACATTGAAATTCATTTCGAAACATAACTTATGTTTTCTCATCTGTATCTTCTATCTCTATATAAATTAAGTTTTCTATTTTCAAATTTTAATTCAACAACATGACATCATGGTCCACAAAAGAACCATACCATGAAATCATTTCATCTGAAGATAATACAACTACTGGATTATTATTATATATCCAAGAAATTTTTTATGGAACAATGAATCAATAACGAAAAAAGAAAAGTTTCCAGAAAACACCAGAAAGAAAAAATCCTTTTGACTGATACTATACTACGCATGTATAATGTGATCATTTATTCTTAACCTATAATGGCTATTGGTTTTTGTGTGTTTGTGTGTGTGTGTGTGTGTTATGTGAGTATTGTATGTCCATACAACCGACACAACCAACACAAACACACACTCAATGATACATACTGGCTGCAACTTTTTTTTTCGCTCATTTGCCACCATTTTTGTCGATCATTTTCATTTGGTGTGGTTTGTTTGATTCGATTTGGTTTTTTATTTTTTTTTGTTCAATATGAATCGCCGAAATATATTCTCTTTATTCCCGTATCAAATGGAAAAAAATGTGATTTCTCGTCATCATTTCAATTTCGATTTAAACATATTGGGTAAGTTTAAGTACAAAAAAATTTTCAATTTCTTTTTTGTAATTTCAATTTTTATTCACTCAACTTTTGTTCATGACATTATTATTATTATTATTATTCTGTTTATGAGAGTTTGCTGTGAGTGAGTGAGTGAGTTTTTTTGTTTTGTTTTGTTTTGTTTAGTTTGTTTTGTTCGTTTTAGATGAATCAATTTGTTTAAGAAAATACCATGATATTGTACGATAGGCCCAATTTGGTAAGAATAATTTTGTAAAGAAATGTGATAAATCATGAAACCAATAACCAGATGTTAAACGGCTACGTCCAATAGTAGCTATAGCGTTGGCCGTAAATGTTTCTGCATTCGGATACATTAATGATCGGGTTTGCAATAGGCTAGAGAAACCAGTCATTTTCGTGCCAATATAATTTGGAATCAATGTTTGTACTTCGATATTCGATTCTCGATATTCAATTTCTAAACTTTGTGAAAACCATTCCACAAATACCTATTGGAAAATAGATTGTTGTTAGTTTTGTATGTGTGTGTACTTCATCATGTTTCATTTAACCACAAAGATTTACCTTCGAAGCTGAATAAACTCCCATCAATGGTAATGGTTGATAACCGGCAATCGAAGCAACATTGATGACAAGACCACGTTTTCGTTTAACCATCGATGGTAATACTAAACGTGTCATCATAATAACGGCCAACATATTTACACGAACATGTTCCCAAAGTTTGGTTTCTGGTTGATCCAAAAATTTATTTGGTGAATCAAACATTACGCCAGCATTATTAACTAAAATGCCAATTTCACGATGTTCTGGATCGATTTCACGCCATATACGTTGATACATTTGTCTATCATCAGAATTCAAATCAGCTTGAATACTAATGATTTGAATGTTACGTTCTCGATTCATTTCGATTAGCTGTGATCGTACCCGTGCTAATTTATCTGAATTACGGCCCAATAAAATGATATTCAAGCCACGTTCAGCAAATTGTTTTGCATATTCCAAGCCAATACCATCGGTTGCACCGGTAATTATTGCCCATTTTCCATATTTTGCAGAGAAATTTGTACGGAACCATACACGTGGCCAAACATGGACATAGAATCCACTTAAAACTGATGATGCTATTGTCCATAAGAAACGTGTAGTATAAATAAAACCAATCAATGTAAACGTATCGATCATAAGACGTAATTTTGGATCAATATCCCGTACAATTTGGAATAGATAGCCCATTGTTGAATAATAAACGTATAGTTTATTTCGTTTTCGTGGCACAGGGAACGGCAATTCGTTGTTGTTTACGTTGAAGTTGTTGATCGATTGTTGATTTGATGAATAATGTTGGTCCATTCGAAGAAATGATGTTGATGAAGACTGTGTATTGAAAAAAAAAAAGAAAGAAGAAGAAGAAAGATGGACAAAACCAAAAAGAAATGAAAAAAAATGATTTCTTTGCTTTCAATGCGGCAACAACACAAAAAAAAAAATTTTTTCTTGTTCAAGCAGACAATTGAATTGCTAAAATTTAAAAATAGCCGATAAAACAAGTTTTTTTTTCGATGTTCAACACAACACAATAGCCGATGATGATGATGATCACGTCAAGTTGAAATTTTATTGTGTCAAGAAACAAAAATTTGTTTTTTTTTCTTTGTCATTTCATTATTCATCACAGTCTTTCTATGGATGAACTGTCGGTCATTTGATGATCGATGGATGCACGATGAAGCCAGTATTTTTGTTTTTTTGAACATTAATTTGCAAACAACAAAACAAATTGACTGAATAGTGAAAAACAGTTGTCACTATAGGAAACAGAAAATGAATATAAATAGTTGAATTGAATCCAATTGTAATCAGGTTGAGTAAACAAGAAAAGTCGGTCAAAAGTTGTTGTTGTTGTTTTTTTACTCTTTCTATTTTGACATTTTACCGAATCAAATCCATACAGTGCATCATCACACGAATGAATGAATGAATGAATGTGAATCAATGATGATTGTGAAAGACGTAGAAAGAAATGAAACTTGTTTTTTTTGTATATATGTGTGTGTGCTTGGAGAAAATTTTCTTCATTCTCTTCTTGCCTTTCTCTCTCCCTCTCTCCCTCTTTATATTTCTATTTTACATACACAGATACTTGAAGATTTCTTTGTAATGATGATTATTACCAGTTTTGGTTGTTTGATCACCAAAAATTTTCTGTTCCTATCCATAATGGATCTTAGATGGCGAAAAAATGAAATGAAATTTTTTTTGTTTCTATTATCATTTTCGGGGAAATACTAGCGATAAAAAAATGGTATAGAAATGTATTGTTTGCATGATTGGTGGATTTTCTTCTTTTTTTTTGCCAAAATTTAAATTTAATAATAGATTCAATGATTAATCAATTAATGATTCATTGGTAGAATTTTCTTTATCATAGGATTTTGTAAAAGATTTTTTTTTCTGTTGTCTCTTTCCAATGCTTGATTGAATTTTGCTAATCTGTTTGATTTTATTTTCCAGGTTTTTTCCTGTCCATCCACAAAGGAAAAAAAATTTGTGTAAATTCAACCAAAAAAAAATGGTAATTGTTTGATTGATTTTTGTCAATTTTTTAATTAATTTTTTCTCTTTTCTTTTCCATATATATGATAAAATAAACAGATTTGATAATTTAAAAAAAAAATATACGGCTGTTTGACCACAGTGGTGGCGTTACCTGGTGATGGAGAATTTCATTATTCGCTAATTGGCTCACCCTACGGTATGGAAAAAACTGGGAAAAAAACGACGAGCATGGAATTGTTTTGATGATGATACGTTATATGAAGGGTATTGCGAAATTAAATCGATTTCTAAATAATCTAATGAATCGATTAATTCAAACTTTGGCCAGATTCTTAATCAACACATTGAATTTGTCAGCAATCATATATTTTCAAGAATTTTTTATTCCCGTAAAATGGTTTGCGAATCATCTGATCATTGGCCGTTCTCGATTTGGCCATATAGAATCTATGAAAAAGCAATGGACGTTTTGATGAATTTATCGGTTACGAATGGATAATATTTTAAACTGTCAGAATATTCTGTACAAGTAAAACATACTGAATTCAATGATATACAACATGACTGTATTGACCGTTGTCATTTGGATTTTCATTATGGGTCCGATGTTTGTTTTGGGTCAGAATATCATTTCTGCTCATTCGGGACAGTTGCTCATTGTTTTACATCATGCCCTGTTCAACCATGCTCTTTTCTTTTTCGAAAACACGTGCGAACGGGTCAAATTCGTGTCTCGAAAAAATTTACTGGCTGAAATGAATACGGCCAGTAAATTTCGTTCGACGATAAAGGCAAAAAGAAACAAACGGCGTCGATCAGCTGCTGTAGCAACAAATGTTTCGCAATCACAACAGCCATCGAATCATCAACATCAGAATTTAGTTTCGCCATCACATCAACAATCATCATCGAAGTCAAATTCATTCAATCAAATGCTCGAACCGGCAATCGATACGAATGCCATTGGTGAATCATTTGATCTGATGAAAATTCCTTATGCACCTATTCAGCCAACATTTGATTATTATTTGGCGAATGATCATTTTCCAGCTGCCAATAGTTCCGATGATTTGGATGATTCAATCAAACAGGTATAGTTTATCAATCAATTTGTTTAATATCTAATTTTAGAATTTCGTTTTATTGATTTTCATAGGCGATCGATGAACGTTTACCGAAAATTATGCCAAGATCGGATGATATTACAAACCTATCGCAAACTGTTTCAAAATTAATGCTCATATTGGATCGTTTAAAAGCATCGCCTGAACAAATTGACGCCTGTAAAATTGATTGTTTTTTTGTTGTTGGATCATTACGGATGGGAACAATGGTTCGTGATCATCGTATAGCCGATATGGTCATAATATTGCAAACGCTTCCAGTAAAGGCGGCACTTTCAGCACTGGGAAATAAATTACTAGAAGAATTACAGCGTATTGAGCCAACTAATCCATACCAGATTAATCTATGTGATGATAATCTCGAACTTACCAATCTTTTCAACAGAGATATTATCCGTATATTGATTGCAACGACTACGGCCAATCTAAACAAATTGGATCGAGAAATCCATGTTCGTAAGAACGCCGTACAACGGCATCTAAAAGCGACCGTTCATGCTCGTTGGTTCGAAGAAAATATAAAATGGAATGATGTAAGAGATTTTATCCGACTTTTCAAAGATGTATGCGGCCGTTTTAAAGAATTTTCCTATTTCTCACCATGGATGATCATCATTCTTTGTCATTATTCAATGACATGTACCAGTGGAACTAGTGGCGAAGATAATCTACCAATTCATTTGGCATTTAAAAGATTATTACAGCTACTATCATCGGGAATATTTTTACCTTATTCGGCCGGTATAACCGATCCATGTGAACCAAAAATGCCAATTCATGGAAAACTATCAGTTTATGATCAGGAAACCATTTCACGCCAAGCACAAACCTTATTACGATTACTCAACTATCACAATGGTTGTCGTTATGTATTTGGTTTAGAACGATTTATCAATAATCATAATATTCAACATGATTCAGATAATGATAGTGATAATTCATCATCTTCATCATCAAAATTAACATCGCCATCAACATCGGCTACATCAATGATGAAACGTTTAGATCTAATTGATAGAGATATTATTGATCATATACAATCGAATGAGGATATTAATTTTCGTAAATCTTATTCAGTGTTCGATTCCAATGCATATGGGAATCATAAACATTGGAAACAATCATCATCATCATCACCACCACAACCACCTTCATCATCATCATTATCATTATCACCCACATCATCATCATCATCATCGTAGAAACTAAATAACTTTTTTTAACGAAAAAATTATTCACACATCTTATTTAATTATCTTATCAACTTGTTTGTTTTATTCCGGAAAAAAACTCAATTTAAAAAATTTATTTAAATTTTAAAAAATCATATTGTTTGTAATTGTACACATTGTGATATAATTGAAATTAAAATTTTGTCTACTTTTTTTTCTCTTTTTTTAAAAATTCCACAATTTTATTTTATATAATTGATTAAGTAATTAAAATTCAATTAATTTCATTTCAATTAATTTCAATACATGGAATTTAAAATTCTGCATTCTATTGTTATATATTGATCCACTGAGTTTGGGTAATATTTTGTGCCTGATTCAAATCATTATTGAAATATATATGGTAATAATCAAAAATTCTGATTTGTTTTTTCAAGCAAGGATAACTTTTTTATATAAATCACGTAATGGATTGAAAATATTTTGATCTTTATATTCAGCTTCAGTAATAGCCGGTACTTCAACATTTTCACATTGATCACGTTCAAAATCTGAACATACAACAGCCGTCATTTCTGCTTTAATATTTTGATGCATTTCACGGAAATAATCAATATTTTTGGCTGAACAGACAGCATTGCCTTTGGATTTCATTGCTTCACCAATGCATGGAGCCACTTTTCGGCTTTTGCTATTGTACCAAAAAAAGAAAAAAAAATTGATTTAAAATTTAAATTTTGTTTTTGTTGTTTGTTGTTTTTGTTCAATAAACTTACCAGCACAATATGCGCATAATTTTACTTTTATCGTTCAATTTATTTGCAGCAAATACCAACATTCGATAATTTTTCAAACATAATTTAGTATCTTGTACAACTGAATTGGCGCAGCCAACATTTTGAAGTAATTGTTCTTTTTTACTTTGTGAACGACATAATCGTTTCAGTACACGTTGAATGCCATCCAATAATGAATCTAGTGATCGTTTTTCATAGCTAGTTTCCGTACAAGTATCAATGAAATTTCGAGCACATGTTTCAGATTTTTTCAATTCTTCACAAGCACGATTTAAATCTTCAATTGAATCAGGAAATTGATTGATTTTCTGTCCATCGGAATAACGGAGCAGGCCATTCTTGAGACATTCACGAATCGGTTTTTCAACATCACAATCTTTGGTTTTTTTCAATGCTAATGTTGTACCAATCAACAACAATATGACGATAGCGATTGATTGCTTCATGTTTATGTTTATGTTTGTTTTTGTTTTGTAGATTCTTCAATTTATGCTGCTGAATTCAATGATGATGATGATGGAATATGAATAAAAATTCATTTCCTTTATATACTGATAACGATTATATTCACGAGATTGTGAACACACACACACACACACACGATTGCATCGTGTACGTACAAATCCTTAACATACATACACACACACACACACGATTGCATCGTGTACGTACAAATCCTTAACATACATACACACACACACACGTTATTAGAAAAAAGAGAAAAAAACGTACATTTTTTCTTCTCATCATCTTTATCTTGCATATTCAAACGGACATAATGACAATAGAAGTTAGTGAGGAATTTTTAATCTGGTTACATAGGTACCTTTAATTGACGGATTAGTTACTGGGTGGGGGGAAAAAGAAAAAAAATTGGCTACCAATCATGATTACCTTACCGGTGATAATAATGAAGGGAAAAAAAAGAATTTTGTTTTTTTTTCTTACAAATTCAAATCAACGATTATGTTGTCCAGTAACGAAAAAAAAACGTTAACGTTAATATTCAATTATCTCTTCCATCCTTCGATAATCATCATCATGATCATCATCATCAAGTAATTAAGATGATAATCTTTATTTTTTTTTATTTTTTTATTTTTTTGAATAAATAAAATTCATTAATAATGATCATGAAAACAAGCAACATTCATTTTTTTATTAAATAAATACAACAAACCAGTTTTTATATTAATTTATTCAATTTACATTCATTTTTGATTGATACATTATACATTTACAATTGATTATTAAGATAAACAACAGCAGCAGCAGCCACAATAACAAATAAATTTTGAGTACAACGATGACCACATTCATCATTGAACATAACATTGGTACCCGTTTGAAAATTTTGTTTTTTTATTTTTTATTTTTTTTTTTTCTTCCTTTTCTGAAATTTTTTCTAGAGGTTCCTAAAATTTGACAGGTACACACACACAAATACACACACACACACACACACACAGACAGATCTGTTGAATTTAATTTCATCATCATATTTCTGAATGATCATTTGTGTGTGGAATTTTATTTTTCATTCCATTTCATATGAATTTTGTTTAATCAAATGATTTCAATTTTTTCTTTTTTTTTATATTGTACAATAATCAACCATTTTTTTTAAATATATATACAAAGGAAAAAAAAGTTAATGATGAATATCAAGGCATTGAATGAATGAATGGATGAATGGATGGATATCTGGGATAATAATTGGGAAAATAAAAATTCGTTGTATGTACAAAATCATTTTCACAGTGGCTAAATCTATAAATGAACAACAACAACAAAAAAAATGATCATCAAAATAAATAAATAGATTATTATCATATATGGACAACTGAATGAACATATTTTTTTCGTCGTTTTAGTATTTTTTTTTCGTAATTATAAAAAACAAAAAACAAAACAAAATTGCACAATTATAATAATGAATGATCATCGGATAATTTGGCCACATCTTTTTTTCGTCCAGATTCAATTTCGGTTGTTTCATTTTGTTTTTCCAATGATAACGGATTGACTGTAATTTTATTTTTTTGTTGTTGTTGTTGTTGTTGATGATTGTTATTGGCCACATTTGATCCATTATCATCTGTTGCTGTTTGGCTAGTATCATTTTTATTATTCTCGAATAATTGTTCTAAACGTACAATTTCCATTGTACCACCAATATTTTGATCCTAATCATTAATCGAAATGAGATTAAAATTTTTATTAATTTCATTTCATTTTGTTTTGTAATTAATAATTGAATTTTGTTCAATTGTCATTCATTTTTAAAAACTTACTGTATGAGTAGGTGATGGACCTGTTGTATAGGCTGGTGAACCATCCGATAAGATGGTCATAACGGAACGTTTTGAATTAAAACGATTTGGAAATGATCGATTATTTGTCACATTATTCGATGATGTTGATGTCCGATGACAATTATGATGATGATGATGATGATGATGATGACAATGGTGATGTTGGCAATGATGATAACGTTGATTATTATTATGATGATAATGATGGAGATCTACAGTAGCTAAATTATTTTTTAGATTCAAATGTATACTTGGATCTGAATCACGATTTTCTTTTATATGATTGATATGATTATGATTCAATGAACAAAATGATGATGAACCACTTGAATGATCCATCATTGGTGGTGTATGACGATTTTGTGATGAAAAATTATGCGTTATAAAACGATTTAAATGTTGTTTGAATAATTTTGTTGTCAATGTATAAAGCACTGGATTTAAGGCCGAATTTACGGGCAATAAAAATACAGCAACCCATGCATAAAGATCTTGATTGATTGGTATACCTAGATTTAAATGATGATTGAATTAGAATTAATTGATAGATTTTTTTTGTCACTAAAAATCACGTAATACTGACCAGAAATAGCTGCTAATTTAATAAGTACAATAGGTAACCAACAAATACCATCAGTTGCTACGATGAATGCACAACGTTTAGCAATATTACGATCATGTTGTTGTGTAGTACGTAGACCAATAGCCGAATTCATAATAGCCATTGACATTTTCATATATGCATGCATTATAAATAGAAATACAATGGAATTAACACCACAGAATAGGAATGTTGAATAACCGATGCCAGTACCATCATGTAGCTGAAGACCAAGACATACACCATTATTGCCATAAAAACGATTTGTGAAATAACGTTTAGCTATCAAAGGCAATAGAGCCAGAATGATTGATAATGCCCAAACCATAAACATGGCACCAATTGCAAATGACATTGAATGACGTTTAATTGAAAATGGATGCATTACCGATAAATAACGATCGATCGTAATTATAGCCAATATAAATACAGATGATTCAGATGAAATTGTCGATATAATACCGGCAAATGTACATTGCCAACTCATACGCCATTCTTCTTCATATAATATATAATGATTACGAAATTTTATATCATAATAAGCAATGATAAATAGATAAATGCCCATCAACAAATCGGCCATTGCTAGATTTTTAATGAAAAATGAATGCACTACATTCAATTCATGCATCATCATACGACCAATAATGACCAAACAATTGCCAATCAAAGCAATCATGGCTACAATCCATACGGCAATACGTAATATGACACTATCTAATAAATGTTGTACACTACTGATACCATCACCACGAGGTATACAAACACGAACATTTAAGGCATATGTACAATGGCGAAAATCACTGAAATAACTAAACAAAACAAAACAAAAAAATGAGATGAGAAATAAAGCAAAAAAAAAAAATAAATCAATCAATCAATCAATCAATCACTTTTGATACACTTACATATGTGTCAATTCTTTAAGCTCATTGAATATATCCTGCGGAAGTTTTTGGAAACGATTCCCTTGTAAAGCTCTGACGTCAGAATAATGAAAAAAAAACGTAAAAATAATAATAATAAATGTGTGTGTGTGTGTGTATCATATATGATTTTCAAATATTTCAACAACTTACAATGATCGTAATTGTAGCATATTATTGAATGCATGTGATTGAATGGTTACGATCTGATTAAAGCTTAAATCTCTTCATTAAAAGAAGATGAAAATAACAAAACAAATATAGAATAATGAAAATTTATAGTGAAAACAATTATAACTGCACATACAATTTAGCCAATGATGTCATTTGATTCAATTGATTTTCCGTTATAAATGTTAGTTTATTATAAGCTAATGAACTGGATGCAAATATATATATTGAGAATGTAAATGAAACAAGAAACAAAATGACAAAAAAAAGGGAACAAGGATTAAGTTAATGATGATCAATTCTTGTCATCAGTACGACATTAAGTTTAAAAAACATACAGTGACTTTAATCGTATAAGATCGATAAATATTGCTTCATTCAATTCGCTTAATTGATTATGGGCCAATGATCTTTTTTTTGTTGTTGTTACATCAATTAACGAGCCAAACGACAACAACAAAAAGGATTTTTCCGTTTCCGTACAAAGTTTTTTTTCCAAAAAAAATGCATAAAAAAGAGAAAAAAAAGAAAAAACAATTATTCATGTTATTAATCTTTTTGTTGAAAAAAAAGAAAGGATTTAATGATCATAGGATAAAGAAGATCAGCACATGCAAACACACACACATGTGAGTTCAATCAATCAATCAATCAATCAATAATAATAATAAACAAATTTAAATATACTCACAGTGTATCCAGATTGTTCAAATGAACTAATGCATCATTATTAATGAACCATATACGATTCTGTTGTAGCCATAATATTTGTAATTGATTCAATGGGAAAAATTGTCTTGCCGGTAATCGGATTAATTGACAAGCTCGTAGATCACTTAGATGGCCATCATCATTATCATCGTCATCAATAATTTATTCATTTGTTTGTCATATGAATTTCAATCATCATCATTATCATCCGATCAATTATAATGGCCAACCCCGAGAAATGAATAAAATTTACGATCAATGAACAAGAAAAAAAGGCGATAAAGAAAAAATAAATAAAATAGAAATATTACACAAGTGGAAAGAAATGAACAAAGTTCGATTAGTAATAATATTGCCATTTTCAAAACAATATTGTTGTCGTTGATTTTTCGACCATTTTTTTGGCCGATTTTTTATTGTTTACAAACGGGCACGGTTTTATCATGTGAGAATATTTGATGAAATACATAGAAGAAAGAAAGAGAGAGAGAGAGAGAGAGAAAGAGAAACTAATTTCAAGAATTTTCGGATGAATAGATCGATTAGAAACGATTGGTAAACGCCTAATGATTATTAATGAGAAAACGAAATGTTTAACTGATTGTTTCAAGCAACAACAGAATGAAACTTTTTTTTTTTTTTTTTTTGTTCGGATTCAAGAATCTATCATTAACAAAAATAAATAACTGACGACTTTATAATTCTATAATGCAATGGATGAATTTCGATAAATTTTTGTTGTTGTTGTTGTTGTTATTGGGTGGGTGTTTTTTTTTGTTATTTCGTCCTTGATCAAGAAAAATTACTTTAATTTATATTACAGTCGATTGTATTTTTTTTTTAAACATGATCACACACACAGCACTTACAGTTCGATTAATCCATTCAAGCCATTGAATGCATTTAGGCCAATCATACGTATTGGATTATACGATAGATTTCTATGAAAGAGATATAAAAAAAAACATTAAATTCAAAATTTGAAAATTCAAATAAAAAAAAAAAATCAATCATTGTCACTTACAATAATCGTAATTTTTTATTTTTATGAAAAACAAAATCAACAATCACTTCCAATTGATTGCCAATAAGATGTAAATGTGTTAATTCAGTTAGATTACCGAATGCATCCGATTGTAGTGTATGGATATTATTGCTGGTCAATATTCTGAATATATGTGGAATGGAATGGAATTAAAGAAAAAAGTCTTGATAAAATGATGTGTAAAAAAAAATAATGATGGTGACCATCATCATCATCATCATCATCAGCAGATAAATGATCAATGATTAATCGATATATAACATCAAAATCTTGAAATGGAAAAAAAAGAAAACTGAACCAAAAAAAAAAATATATATATCGATTTCAACCAAATTAACAATAATCCCAGACGATCATTTTGATTGGAAAAAATTCTAAAAATAAATTGTCCACATTAATGAACGCGAAAATTGAACCCAAAAAATAAAAAAAAAAAATTGTGTGCTTTATTATCGATACCATTTTAATTTTCGTTTGTCTCCAATCACCCCACGCATCCACACATACACATCCGTTCAAAAAAAAATCAAACAAAAAGAAAAAAAAGAAGGAAAAAAAGAAAGAAAGAATCATGGGCAATTTTTTGAGTGCAAAATTTATCCTCAAACAAACATTCTAATGATGATGACGATGATCATTATCAGACAACTGTAACTGTATTTGATGAATGATTTTAGATGTTGTTCTTTTTTTCTATATGGTAAAAAAAATGATCCAAAATCTTTAGCTGAAAAAAAATAAAGAGTACCAATAATGCGATTTTGGGTTATAACTATTTCCATATATTTATTTTCACACACACACACACACACACACATGCCAGTAAATATCGAAGTTCCTAAAGGGAAGTGCATACGGTACTGTTCCTAATTAAATGGCATTTTGTACAAAGAAACAAAAAAAAAGAACGAATCAGGTACGTGATTATAGAATGTTTTTTTTTTTTCCATCCATTTTCATTATAATCAAAATGATTTTCTATTACCAGTGTGTAATTATTTTCTATTTAACAATAGCTGTCGGTGTTATTGTTGTTGTTGTTTGGTTTTCTATTTCATTTTTTTTTCTGGGTGACAATTGACAATAACCCTAATAATAGTAGTATATACGAATGTCATTTCAATTTTTTATCAGTATTTTTTTTTCACGCTCCCTACCCATTATTAGTATTTTAGTTCTGTAGGCTAAATCATGTCATATGATGACATTTGATAAACTTGAATTTAAAGAAGAACAAGAAATAAAAATAATAATAATAACAGAAATTGATAACGTCTAACACAATTGTCTAAAATGATTTGATGGTAAAATGAAAATGAACATTAAAAAGTCAAAAGGAAATAAAATGAAAAATAGAAACAAAATTCAAATAAACTTATCGTCATTATCATCATCATCTAAAGAGAGAAAGAAAGAAAACAAATCAAAAAAAAGTTCCAATTTCTTTAATGTTTATAATGATAATCGATCCAAGTTTGAGTCAATTTTTCTCGATTAAAAAAAATTTGTGAAAAAAAACAAAATCTGTACTCAATCTTGCCTTGAAGGCAATTCTTTTGTTCGTTTTTCTACCAACATTTTCAAGTGCAAATTTGACATCAACAAAAAAAAATGCATGCAATTCAATAATCAAATTGAATCAGACTTACAATGATTTTAGATGACGTAAACGTCGTGTAAAAGTTGTATTCTTTATGATTGAAATTTGATTGCCACTTAAATCTCTGCAATTTTTTTTTTTTTTGAAATTTCATTTGTTTATTATTTTTTTTTTCGTTGGAACGAATTTGTAATTTTGAAAAAAAAATCAATCATCAAATTAATTATAATCATTACATTATATATTCATCATCATTGAAAAACTTACAATACATTCATTTTTTTGGGCAAATCTTTTCTAGGTACATCATGTAGATTACGATTTACACAAAATATACCCATACCGGAACATGTACAAATAGCCGGTATCATTGTTAATGAACAATTAATTGTCAATTTTTCACGATCTTCATCCGGTCGTTTACTGAATAATTTATTATAATAACTTGAATCATATTTATCCGCTTTATTTTGAAATGTGTGAATAGAAAGAAACGAAAAAAAAAATGAATTACAAAATTAATGAGAAAATTGTGGTTACGATCAGTGTGCTTGTGTGTGTGTGAGTGCATCTATAACAATGGAATTAACTTTAAATAATTGAATTCTACCAGAATGTTCGAGAATTCTGGATTAATACAAAAAAAAAAAAAAACATTCACAAAAGTATTTTTATTCTATTATCATAGGAACAACACATGTTCACAGGTGAAAATTACATTTTCATTCACTTTACGTTGCACTAACCAAACTATCTACATACATGAAGCGACAAATATATTCATTATATATAGCTTTTTGAACTGAAAATTTCGGGAGAAAAAAAAACTTTTACTCAATTTCATTATTAAAATGTTTGTAATCGAAAATTGTTGTACCATGATTTACCGTAATTAAGAAACCTTATTATTTTCTGTTGTTGTTGTTGTTGTTATTGTTATTGTTTGTTTACAAAGAATTTGATGAGATGTGTAAAAAACTGAAAAATTTTTTCCTACTTACTACAATTAGATTCATCTGAACCATCTGGACAATCTTCATTATCATCACAATTAAATTGTTGTTTCACACAATAATCGCCAGAATCACATTCAAAATAACCAGGATCACATGGTGGTATTTTTAATGCATGATATTTACGTTGATAATGATCAAATAAATCAGATGATGATGATGACATTGACATTGATGTTGATGTTGATGATGATGATGATGATGGTGATGGTGATGTGAATGTATTAGAATCATCATCAAATTCTGTATCTAAAATGAATAATAAAACGTATCAAAATCAAAATAATTATATATATATAGATTCAACAAAACTTACCTCGATAAGCTAAAATTAATTCCAATTTCATATTCAAAATGACCATTAACCAAATTAAAATGGTCATCATTAAATTCGACCATTTTAAACAATGATGATGATTTTTCAGATATTTGATAATGATTGTAATAAATATCGATAACATTGTAACAAAGATGATTGTATGATTGCAGAATTTATGCAATTTATTAGCCGTAGTTTACAATGCAAATGATGATCATCATAATGAATTTATTATTATTAACGATGACATCATTGTTATTTGTTTATTTGTTCATGTATGATGATGCTAAATATTGAATATGTATCAGCAAGCACAAACCACATACAACCATGCCGGAAATATGAGAAGAGAAATGGGAAAAAAAATCAATGAAAAATTCATTAATCATAAATTCATTTCATATCACTCACTCACACACACACACACACTGCACACACAGAGGTGCATAGCATTACAACAACAAATGGCAAAATGTCAATTGTTTATCGATTCCGTCAATTGGTTAAACAAAACGAAAAAAACCAAACGAAACTAGAAATTTTTTTATATATCATAAAAAAACAATAAAAACAAGAAAACAAAACCAAAATGAACTTTGAAAATCAAAAATGGTCAAAAAAAAAAACAACAACAACAAAGAGCAATTATAACAAGCGAAAGATGAAAGTGAAACAGAAAAACAGTGACTAAATAACTCGTATTTTTTTGTCTCTTGACCTTATCATCATCATCATCATCATCATCATCATCATGGCATTGACATTTGTATGACAAATGATTCTTTTTTTTCCTACTCATTTGCTAATTTATATCGAAAACACAAAAATTACGCCTGTTTTTTTTTTGTTTATATTCTAATCCTGTAATTAAAAAAAAATGATGGCAGAATGATATTTATTTTTCAAATGACATATGAATGGTTGAAAAGAATTGTTGAATATATAATAATAATAATTCAGTTGTCGGTAATGAAAATTGACGATATTTGAATTGGTAACGGATATTATTGAACCACTCTTGTGATAATTGAAAAAAAACCACACATAATTAATAATACCAGTGTGTATGAAAACAAAAACAAAAAAAAATTATTCATTTCCCACGAAATTCTCATGTTTACACTGTTGGCACTTGACAGAAATGAATTGAAAAAGATGGTCGAATAATTTTACTGAATGAATAGGCCCGATAATTGTTGGTTTGTATGATCTTGAAAATTTAATCGGATTCAAATGTGTAACATACGTAATTTTTTTTCACACATTCGCCTGTCAGTAATTCTGGGTTTTAGAATATAGAATTCTGTGTTTTAATCATCAAAAACAAGGAAAAAAAACTAGGCATCAGATAAAAAAAAGGCTTAACAACAATGAATTTTTATTTGCCTATTTGAAATGTCGAAAAAAATTGAAATGAAATGAAATAGACTTTACACAACCAAACACAATTAATTGATTGAAATGAGTGTTGAAAACCAAAAAAAAAAAAAAAAATATTCTGGCAGCCAATGTTATATATAGTTATTTATGGCCATGTGTTTTGTATGGAAAAAAAACTGCATAAATCATCTATATTTCTTTACACATGTACACAAAATTAAGAAAGCTGATTGAATAAATAATTTTTCATCAATTTAAAATTCTTGAAACTTTAAATAAATAAATACACGCACTGATTCATAATCGGTTCGATGTTTTTTTTTGACGCACGCATAGGAAAAAATGATGAATGAAAAGTTTTAAATTGAAATGAAAAATGAATTTTAAAAATAAAAATTGGTAAAAAGATTGAATCATTGATCAATGTTTTCCGCGAATTTTTTTTTAGAAGTGAATATAAAAATATATCTCTTTTTTTGTTATCTTTTGAATTCAATTCAATTTATAGAATGTGAAATGGGCAAAAAAAAATTCACAATGCCACTTTTTCTCATCATTGAGTGATAAACAGAATTTCATATGAGCAGAATAATTGGAATCCAATTTTTTTTCTCGGTTCGTTTGTTTGCACTATAAATTCTAATAATTATTCGATGATAATAATAATGATGATGATGATGATGATGATGATGATTATAATTGGATTCATGACAGAATTCTGATGTGTTGTGCGTATTTGGATAGGAGAAAAAAAATGGAAAGCCAAATATTGCACTTGATTTTTGTTTCCATTTTGTTTATGGAACTAAACACAAATGATTTTCTTTTTTTTTTTTCTGTCTCTTTATAAACGTTAAAAAAAATTCAACAAATACTGCCCGCACTCTATCAATGGCAAAAAAAATCCAAAAAAATCAATTTGATTTGTAGAATTTCAAGAAATTAAAAATTAAATATTCAACTGAAAAAAAAAGATAAATTTGAACCATTCTAATACGAAAAAAAATTCTTATTCTTTTCGACAAATTTAATTAGTAATTCTATTAAATTCTATTAAATAAAAATAAAAATCAATCTTTGTTGCAATGAATGAATGGTTTGATTACATTGTTCAAATAACGACAATTAAGACACATACATTCACATCTTTATATACGGAATTTGTTGTTGTTGTATTAAGCCAATTAAGTCAAAATCTTAATTGTTTGGTCTTTTTTTTGATTTGATTCGATAGATTTGCCTTTGGTTACCATATAATGTAACTTTACCTTATGATTTAATGATAATTGATTTACGCACACACACACACATACACACAAATTGATGGATAATTGAATGGAATTCAAAATATCCGTTTTCCATTGAATATTTACAACAACAGCAAAAAAAAGTTTTTAGAAAAGAGAAAAGAATTTTCATTGGAATTCTAGCTTAAACCGAAAAAAAATTTAGTTCAACTAGAAAATGTTAAACAAATCAAATAACCAAAAAAAAAAAAAATTAAATGAATAAACAATGCAAACAAATTCCTCTTTCACTGATTGCGTGCAAAACCTACATTTAGTTGGATTTTCAGTTTTTTTCCCCATACCCAAAAAAAGACGATGATCACTGAAATCTTGAAAACAAAGAAAAAAAACGGAACTTTCTTCTGGATAAACAAACACACACACACACATTGAAAGAAAGAATCACGAACAAAATTGTTTTTACAATGGATGTATAAACTAGGTAGTAAAAATTAAAAAAAAAAAACTTTTTGCCACATACACAACACACTCAATAGAGAAAGAATTCACAAGGAAATGTGATTAATACACCGGACATTGAAAACACCCAAAAAGTTGACACATGAATTAAAACAATGATGATGATGATGATGATGAACCGGATGGTCGTAGTAAATTTTGTTGGATATTTTTGTTTCTGTCCGATTATAGATAGAAATGAATTTTTTTTGTTAATGGTTTTTCATCATTTCAGATTTTTTATTTTTCATTCTTATTTTCAATGTCATGATGATGATGATGATGATGATATGAACACAGTGTTATGATATAAATGATTGAATGATTGACTAACTTGTGGCTATTCTAAACCAATGACTAACATCGTCTGTTGGATTCACACACAGGTTTTTATGAATTTATTTATTTATTTTTTTTTTTTTTTGGCTTGTTGTATGCAACAATTCCAATGTGTTTGTGTGTGTGTGTGTGTGTGTGCGCGCGCGAAATTACAACGAAGAAATTGAGATCCAGTTTTTTCCAGTTCCATAATAAAAATAATGTTTTGAGTCGTCGCCAAAATAAAAAAAAAAAGAGAGGAATATAAAAAAAAAGTGAAATGGAAAATAAAAAAAAAACGAAATTGATGTTGCTATTAATGCTAGAATTCTAATTCTGCTATTAAATGTTTGGCCATTTGTTTCATTATTATCATCATCATTGTGGAAACTATGAAAAAAAAACTTAGCCATAGATAAATTAATAGAATTTGTTTGTGATTTGTTGTTAGAAAACAATGAAATTCAAATCATTCTCATCAAAGAATTTTTTTTAAATTCAAGAATTCGATACAATTTGCTTTGAATTGGAGAATTTGTGCTAACACTAACATTTCCTTGGATCATTTCAATGGAATTTATGGTTTTGGCAAAAAAAAAATTTTAAGGAATTTTTTTTTGGGAAGAATTCCAATGAAAATAAAAAAACTAATTCAACACCGGTCATGAATTCATCGAGATATTTTGATATTTTGAAAGGATAAAATGAAAATGATGATTCTGATAACCAATCGACCATCATCGCAACCACAAACACTATATTGCATCATTTGTCAAATGAATTCTGATTGAATCTCTGATTTTTTTTTCATCTCTATAATTTAGTTAACAAAATTCTTGTTGTTGTTGTTGTTTGTCGTTGTTGTTATTGTCGTTATGGCCGTTATTATTATATTAACAACATTATTGTTGTAAACCCCATTCATACACTTGAATAAATATATTCAAGCACGATTTTTTTCAGTGCGACTATGGAATCAAAAAAAAAAAAAAAAAATGAAAATGAAAATAAAATTTGAAATTCAAACTAGAATTGTTGGTATGTGTGTGTGTGTGTGTGTGTGTGTGTGTGTATGAATAAAATACAATGTAAAGATGGAAATGGAAATAAAAGAAAAAAAAATTCTCATTCACTTTTTATATGTATTCACATTCATCGTTTATATGTATATATTCCAGAATATTGAAATGATTGATGAATTGTTATATATAAAAAAAAGAATCAAAATATATTGAAATGAAAGAAATTCAATAATAAAAACTGAAAATGTTAGTGATGATTGAATTTTTGCAAAAAAAAAAATACAAAACGATCGTTTTTCATTTGTTGTTAAAGGTGACATTTTTTTTCTTGTTTAATTTTTACTTGTGACCTTTTCATTATAAATTTGTTTTTTTTTTTAGCTTTGCTTTAAATTATTCGGATTTTATGTTTAATT